TTTATTGTACCTTGTAATAAGTAGAAAAATATATACATTCATATGTATGGTAATGAAAGCACATAGACACTAATATCAATTTTTTTTTTTTGAAAAATGGAAAGGCATGACTCCTGATGATAAATACTACACACCTATAGAAATGAATATACAATCCAAGGTGTATTGTGTAAACAAATTATGGAACCACTTTATAAAGTTTGTATGCCAAATTTAAATGCAAACCTTTTTTAAAATTAAATATAAAAATAATCAGAGAATGTTAATTATTTATTTGTTTCCTTAAAAAACACTTTTAAGGGTATTTAACAAATCATAAAATATATTTTTCAAAAATACTTCACATTTCATTTTATTTGGCATTCGCAACCTTTCACATTAATTGAGATTTTTATTAAGATACACAACTTTTTATTTTATTTGGCATCACAATCTTTAGAATTAATTGAGATTTTTGTTAAGATACAGAGCCTTTCATTTTATTTATTAAGAAACACAACTTTTCATTTTATTTTTTTAAAGAAGCACAACTTTCCATTTTATTTTGCCTTTACAATATTTCATATTAATTGGCATTTTTATTAAGATACACAACTTTAGAATTAATTGGTATTTTTATTAAGACACACAACCTTTCATTTTATTTATAAAGTGACACAGCTTTTCATTTTATTTTATTAAGAGACACAACCTTTCATTTTATTTATTAAGAGAAACAACTTTCATTTTTTATTTTACATTTACAACATTTCACATTAATTGATATTTTTATTAAGAGTCACAAGCTTTCATCTTGATTGACATTCACTTTCATCTTCTTTGACATTCACAACTTTTAGAATTAATTGGGATTTTTTATCAAGGTACACAATTTTTATTTTATTTGACATTTACAACCTTTAGAATTAGTTGTGATTTTTATTAAGAGACAACCTCTAATTTTATTTATTAAGAAACACAATCTTTCAGTTATTTCTTTAAAGAGACACAACTTTTCATTTTATTTTGTATTTTCAACCTTTCACACTAATAGAAATTTTTATTAAGAGTCTCAGTTTTTTTTATTTGGCATTCACAGACTTTTAAATTAATCAAGATTGTTATAATTAGTAGATTTTTATTATGAGAAGATACAACTCTTATAACTATTTTAAATATTTTAAAATTATTTTTTTCTGAGACACAATTGTTTTTATAATGAAAAGATGCAACTTTTAAACTAATATATTTCATTTTTATTGAAGAGATATAACCTTTCAAAAATTGTTATTATGAGAAGACACAATTCTTACAACCTCTTTTAAATATTTTTATAATATTTTTTATGAGACACAAACTTTTTTTATAATGAAAAGATAGAATTTTTAAAATAGTAGAAATTATTTTATAAAAAGACACAATTCTATTTATAATAAAAAGATGCAACTTTTAAACTAAT